GAACTTAACTTATTTTTGTGCCTTTGATCAGTGACTGAAAGTCAAAGAAAGTATAGACTTCATTACCTTATAAAATTAGTGCCAAGTAATTATGTGATGAATGGGTTATTGATTGAAAGAAGGATAATAGTTGAAAATACTGAGTAGAGAATTTTCAAATCACAGGACACAATTGACTTCCTTGACTCTAATTAAAATCAACAAGCCATGTGCAGTTGAAACCACAGGCAAATTTCTAAATATTTGCAGCAGCTTATCAGTGAGGGCTATGAAGTACCATTTGTGAGGACACAATGTTTGACTTTTCCAGCTGTGATTGGCAGGGAACCCTGTGTTATGGTTCCTATTATGCAGCACTGACATCTAAAATCAATGTTATGAAATGAGCCTACTTGTTACCAATCCAGGCCGGCTTACAGCTGTGAGCAGTTATTGTTAAATGCAGTTTAAATTCTAGCTTGGCGGTCATGCAAGATCAACTGAACATATATTTACTACAGTGTACCAAAATGAAATCCAAATTGGGATGAGGCAAGTGAGACAAGGCACAAAAATTTAAGGACACTTACTCTCAGTGTTTGCCTCCTTCTAAAGTATAATAAATTATTTTTAACTGCAGAAGTTCAATGTACAACAGTAATCTCAAGAAATTTCTTTTATCAATAACTTTTAATTGAATTTACAATATAGTTTAATTATGTTTATTATTGGATGGTTAAATAAGAATTATATTATTTTCCATGATTAAGCTAATGTGTGTTAATCGAATCCTTACTTAAGTGATTCGATCCCCTCCACCCCCTAGTTTCCCATGTATAAGATAGGCAAAGAAATAAGATTGATTTTTTTCTTTTCATACACAAAAATACATGCATCAAAATGAGAAGTGGTCTTCAAAATAGTCACTTCTGCCATGGTAAGAACTTCTGCCATGTAATTGACTAGCCAATGATACAAGAAAATGAGTTACTTTATTTATTCACTTCTTGTTTTTGAACAAAAATAAGATTACCCAGTGTACTCTTTGACCTTATTCTCAGACTTCAAAGTAATTGAATTTGGGCTATTTTCAAAAATCAAATTCATCTTCAAAGAATCAAGATTTACTACTTGGAAGATATTAAAGGAGTGCCCAGCTAGAAGGCAAGTTCACAAAGTAGAGCTCTATACACAGGCCACTGCTTCGAGGGACGGGTCTACTTTGAAGGTAACAGTTAGATGTTTGATATAAAATAATGAGCTTTGTCACTGCTAGGCACACGTTGCTCCCCATACCTTATTGAAGGGTTTCACTCTAACCTACCCAATCTAACTCAATGTATATCTTTAAGAGACTGGGGTTGTGTTTCCATGCTTTCTGCTACTAACACCAGTTGGAAATGGTGGGTTCAGAGAAAAATAAAAGTAATTGGAAACCTAACCCTGAATTGTACCCCCACATCTTTAAAATAAAAGAAAAAAATAGAATTCTACTTCTGGGTATATGCTTAGAAGAATTGAAAGCAGGGACTCCAAGGGATATTTGTACATCTATGCTTATAGCGTGTTAGTCACAATAGTTAAAGCATGAAAGCAACCCAAGTGTCCACCAACAGATGACTGAATAAATAAAATCTGGTATGCATGTAAAAAAAAAAAGCAATTGGAAACAGCTAAAAAGGTAGAGGAATAGCATAAAGTGACAGGTGATAATTGACTCACAGAGCCTGTCAGAGAAACAACAGGAGTACTGGAAACAGCACTAACTGAGTCTCAGGAGCAGGGATGGGATTGGATGAGGCAGGGTACAAAATAGAAGGAGGAAGACACTGAGAGTAAGTGTCCTTAAATTTTTGTGCCCTGTCTCATTTGCTTCACCCTACTCTGGGCACTGGTCAGTGGGACTGATTTCTAATTCAACTCATTTTTTGCCACAGACTTGCTGAACAATTTGGGACAAATCAGAGGTTAATCTCATGCAACTTTACATTTTCTACAAGTAAAATGGGGGTAATCTCTGCAACACTCATTATATTATAGGTTTTTGCGAGAATCCATGGGATGTGACTATGCTGTCATCTGTAAACATTTATACTTTGATTAGCTTTTATTCTTATTCCTATCATATTAGATTTAGCAATTTTTAAAACAATTCCTCTGCCTACAGTTCTATTATTAGACTAGCTGGGCATAGCTGGAGTACTGGGGATATTTTTTTAAAGTGCAGATGTTTCGGCCTTGTCAGACTGATTTAATAAGAATCTCTTAGTGTGGAGTTCATAATCAGTATATTTTACACTATTTGCATATTAGTGCTTCTTTATTTAACTTATTTTTAGTGGTTGCCTTTTACTCTATAATACACATCTTTAACTTATATCTAACTTGAAATAATTTATGTCACAATGTATCATTTAGGCACCTTACAAAGTATACTTTTAATTCCTCCCTCCTTTCCTTTATGTTATTATTGTCATACATTTTCTCTTTACATATATTATAAACCCTACAATGCATTATTTCTGGATTTTTCTATTTGGTCAATTACCTCTTCAAGCAACTAAAGTTTATAAAACAAAATCTGGTAATTGTGGTACTTTTCTTTGTGTACTTCTTGTTTACTAATGCCAAGTGTAGCTTCTCTTGGTATTAAAATTCTTCTGTTGACAATAAATCTCCTCAGCTTTTGTTTGTCTGAAAAAGGCTCTTTATTTCATCTTCATTTTTAGAAGGTATTTTCAGTGAGTATAGAATTCTGAATTGTGAAATTTCTTTTTATTTTTTGTTTTTCAGGACTTTACAGATACCATTCCAGTATGTTTTGGCTTGCATTGTTTCTGAAAATGAACTTACTGTAATTTCCACCTTTTTATGTTATGCTTTTGTTTATTCTTAAACTTAAATAGTTTGACTATGATGTATCTGAATGTGTATTGTTTGGCATTTTTCCTTTTGGGAATTATCTGAATTTCTTGGATCTGTACTTTGATGTCTTCATTATTTTATACAATTCTTTACCGTTATCTCTCAAGATATTTCTTCTGACTCTCCCTGTCATCTGTTTTTGAGACTCCAATTACATCATGTTGGACCAAATCTAAAGTTCTTATATAATCAATTCCCTGTGAGCTTTTTTCAACTCTTTTTTTCCTTTGTGTTTTAATGGGAATAATTTATCTTGACCTGTCTTCAAGTTCACTGTTTTTTCCCTCAGGTGTTTTAAGTTTAGTTTTGGGCCCAGCAAAGAAATTTTTCCTCTTTGATATTTTTTAAATGTTTAGAATTTCCATTGACTGACTGTTAAAGCTTTCATACCTTGCTGAATTTCCCCATCTGTTTATGTATGTTGTCCACTTTTTCAAAGTAGTTACTTGTAACATATTATAATTATCTTAAAATTCCTCTTTGTTATTTCTAACATCTGGGTTATGTCTGCTTCTGGTCCTGTTGATTGATTTATCTTTTTGCATGAGTTATTTTTCTTTTGTTTTTGTGCATTTCACATTTTTTAAATCGAATGCCAGACATCATGAATAGGAGAGTAAAAACCAAAGAAATATTTATGCCTGGAAATTGGCAAGCCTTTTTGTCAGGCTATTAGTGTGGGGGTTGGAATCAACATAATTGTGTAACCTGAGATGGCTTTGGGCTTTTTTGTTGCTATTGTTACTTTCAGTGCACTACAGCTTTCAAGTTCCTCCAGAATTGGACTACTAATGCCTTGTGTTTATATTCTAACATCTATAATATCTTGAGTCTTAGGTTCAAGCCTGGTTTTGGAACTCTTGGGTATCAGAAGGTTTTCCTTAGCATTCCTGCTGTCCTCTAGATTTTGGTTGTCCTTGGAATATGGTTGTGTTGTAGTAAGCATCTCTCTCCTTGCATTGTCCTTCCGGTGGTAGGCAGCATTTCTAGTGTTAGGCTTGTAGTGGAGTCAAGGCAGTTCTCTTTTTACCTTTTCCAAGCCTTACCATATATGTGGTTGTTTTTGGGCAGGAGTTTCCTTCCCCTGACCAAGTGGCAACAGACCTCTAGTTTGTTATGGGCCTCCTGGGCCTCCTCTTGGGCCCCAGGAGGTTTTATGCCCCCCCACCCATGGATCAAGATTTTTTTCTTCACAATTTTGCGTGTATCAATTATGTGTGCCTATATCCTAGGGGCCAGCGGGTTATCTTTCCCTCCCCCAGAACCAGGTTGGTTTTACTTTTACTCCTGCTCCAGAAGCAATGGATCTGTGCCTGGCTCCTATTGACAGTAGGGTTTGGTGCCTCAAGCAGCTTAAAACTTTGTAAGAGAAAATAGTCCTTGGAAATGAACAGGGCTTTATGCCCATTCTCTAGCAGCCAGAGGTCACTTCTTTCTCACCTGCACTGTAAGAGGGTGTCTTGTTCCCTGACTTTCTCATGGCATCCAGTGGACACCCACGGAAAGGACTTGTCCATTCAAACAGTCTCCCCTCTGTCTTAGGCACCAGATATTCCTAAATGACACATTAGCCCAAGTGATTCTAATGACCAAAGGATTGAGAAACACTTGTAGGAAAAGAGATTTCTTAGGAAGTAAATCTGTTTTATAGAACTTCTTTGTGTGTGTTAGAGTTTATAATTAGAATTATAAAGCCATTTCTAATATAATTTTTCACGATCTTCAAAATGGAACATTTAAAGATTTAGAGTAGAGGTTAATGGAGAGTATAGGTTTACCTGATTTCCCTTACCAATTCTGAAATTTTCCTGATTTTTGGCTGAAAGCTCTGCTCTCAACTCCTCATGGTTGGCTTCATTATTATTGCAAGAGAATATATTTACTCATTATTATTGCAAGAGAATATATTTACTCATGGTCTCTACACAAAGGGTTGGAACTGTAGTCTGATTCATCTACTAAAATTCCAACTCACCTCAATCTCCAGTCAAGCTATTCACCTGTTTTGGACAAGGAAAGAATTTTAGCATTTAGCAGTCAAAGGGAGACTTTATGATCATGTGTCTTTCTTAGTGCATGTATTTCCCTATTGACAGAACCGCATCGCCAAGCGCAGCAGGAAGCTGGTGGACTACGACAGTGCCCGCCACCATCTGGAAGCTCTGCAGAGCTCTAAGAGGAAAGACGAGGGTCGGATCTCTAAGGTAGGAGTTGATTCCATGGTGGATACTACTTTCCGTATTTTATAACCTGTCACAGCTTTGCTTTGTAAAATTAAATATTTTCTTTTTAAAGGAGATTGAAATTAGAATTCAAACTGAAATGTAGTACTTGTGGGCTGCTTTCCATTACTTTTAATTAAAAGAAGGTTTTTCATGTCATTGTGGAGGTCACATGGGTGACACTGACTCACATTTTGGTCAGAATAAACTGTGGCCTACAATGTTGCAGGATTAAAAAGTAGTGTGTCTGCTTTTCCTTTGTGTTGTGGTTCTTGCTTGATGCTAAATTGCAGATTCAGATGGGACACCAAGTGAAATTCTCAGACATAACTTTTGATTATCTGAGAATGCCGACATGCTAGATTTGCACACAATTTTCTTTTAGAAAACCCATTTTCAGTAGCCTTTACCATATATGTCAGCAACTCACAAATGCTACCTGACTGAAGTCACATGCTTACTATGCCCTTTTCTTCCAGTTTTTCCTTTTCCTGTGTGACACACAGCTGCCTAAATGGTCTTTCCACATCATATATCTAGATATTTTTCTCTACTGCTTTAATCTTGTAATGGCTTCCAATGTCTGCAGAACAAATTGCTAATTTTTTTTTAACACAGCATATAAGACCTTCACAATTTGGCTAACTCACCTGTGCATCTTTGTCAACGTTCAAGTCTCCTTTCCTCTCCTTCTTCCATACACATACCTTAAGCAGAGCCTTCATTCCCTGCACATGAATTCCTGAGCAGCCACAATAACAGCTGCCTTTCTGAAAGGCCTTACAGATGCCAGGTGCCCTGTTCAACATCTCATCTACATTACCTTTTCTTAATACAGTACAACAGCCTGTGAGGTACACAAAGGTCAAGCAATCTGACAAGTCACATGGTGAGTAAGCTAGAATTCCATCCCAAGGAACTCTACCTGTGTGTATTGTAAGCCTTCCCCAGTCCCTTCTTTAGCAAACAATTTCTGATTCTTTAAAATTCAGCTAAAATATCACCTTTTTTTTTTTTTTTTTGAGTTGGAGTCTCACTCTGTTGCCCAGACTGGAGTGCAGTGGCCGCTCCCGGCCACCGCAGCCTCGACCTGCTGGGCTCCGGCGATCCTTCCGCCTCAGCCTTCCAAGTAGCCGGAATTACAGGCATGCGCTACCACGCCCGGCTGATTTTTTGATTTATTGTAGAGATGAGGCCTCGCCAAGTTGCCCAGGCAGGTCTCGAACCCGCGGGCTCAGGCAATCCACTCACCTCAGCCTCCCAAAGGGGCCAGATTACAGGCTGAGCCACCGAGCCTGGTTAAAATATCACCTTTTTCTGGGGAAACTTCTCTCATCCTTGCACCAGCTTCCCTGTTGCATGCTCCATAACACATTGTTAAGTTCCTTTCATAAATACATCTTGTAATGTAATTATTTAACCTTTCTACTAGACTGGAAATTTCTTGGGGGAACATCCATGTTTAGTATCCGGAACAGAGCTGTCTACATAGCAGGCACTTAACGTATTTTCATAGAATAAATGGATCAGCCAGAAACTGTAAGAGCAACTGTTGTAATGAATCGTTTCCAGTTTTAATGAGTTTTAATATTTCATGTTTAACTGAAAAATATATGGTATGGATTTTAATCTAATATCTCTCCTTCTTAAAATGTTTCCAGGATGCCATAAGGCCATTTTCATCTTATATTAAATCATGCTGTTGTATATAGAAATGGCTTATTTTTTAGTATAAACATATGTATCATTCTAGGCAGAAGAGGAATTTCAGAAAGCACAAAAAGTGTTTGAAGAGTTTAACGTTGACTTACAAGAAGAGTTACCCTCATTATGGTCAAGGTAAAATGTTTCTGTACAGTTGGTACATACCTCTTTTACAAGTTCAATAACTGAACATTCCTCATCTCGTCTTTATGATTTGTGGTACTTCAGTGTGATCCAGTAAAAGTGTTCTCTGTCTACACTTTTCAATATGGTAATTACTTGTTACATACGATTACTGAACTGGGAATATGGCTAGTGTGACTGAGGAACTAAATTTTTAATTTAATTTGTTTTTTGAAAATTCATTTAGATTTAAATGAATTAACTTTTTAAAAAAATTCAGTTAAATTTAAATAACCACATTAGATTATGTGATATTAATTCTTTATATATTTCTCAAATGGAGACTCAAATCTCAATATATGCATTAGGATAAATGCCATTAGTCTTAAAATTTGCAGTAATATCCTTTCAGCTCATGAAGGAACTTCCTTTATTCCAAGAACTTATCTAGTCTTCTGGTTTTGATGCTAAGTCCTGACCTTTTAACCTGAACTCCATTCCTGTTTTAGTCACTAAATATTATTCTTTACAGGTACTCTGCATTTCTTATGGGAGTTCATTTTCTGTAGTTTGTTCTGTTTTTCATAGTGGTAGAACCAAGCAGTTGTTAAGTGAAGTAGAACCTTGTGTTCCTCAGTTTCCATCAGCATGCTCATGCTAAGCAGAATAAATCAACCCCAGATAAACAGATCTGTGTTTGCTGTACTGCAGTGTTTTAAGTCAGGTCCTCTTGTCCTAACTTCCAACCAGTTGCCCCTATATCCTTCCTGTATCTAATTCTAGAGCATCTACTTATCCACCAAAATTTTAAGTATTTTGAGAATACAGACAGGAGTTTGTCCACTTCTGTGTTCATCCCTTGTATTTTTATTTTTGCTAATAATAGACACTCTGTTTTTGAGATACTAAAATATCTGGATGAAATTTTGGCTAGTTCACTGTAAACTAGACATGTCTACCTTAATGTCTAGCCTTTATCCAAAGTCCAACATGTGTAAAATTATCTAATTGTTCATCCTAATTTACTCATCTTTCAACATCTTCTTTTCTCTTTTTGGTACCATCATTGCTGGGCTCCCAAACTACAAAGCTTTGGAGTCATTAACCACAGGAAACTAAAGGGCCATCAAAGGCAGCAAGTCATCATTTTCTGGTGTGGTCTCCTGGATTGGTCTTTGCCTGTATATTCTCACTGACACCACCCTAACCCTCATCATCCTCTTGTGAATTTTGATGGTAGTTTTGCCCTTATATTTGTTTCTTTGACTTCATCCTGTACACCTCTTTTTTCAGACGCTCCTCCTTGACATATCTGTGGCCTGCTTAGGACTTCACTGTATGGACTTTACTGTATGTTCCCCCAAGAGACCTCATCTCTCCCACAGTGAGATTCAAATAGCATGACTTATACAAATTTTAGGGGTATCAGTGAAACAAATATCTGTTTATAATTTGAATTTATTTAATTCTTCATGTTTATTTAAAAGTCACAAATTATATGAAATGATGTGAGTTTTTAAGAAATACCAGTATTACTTTGTTGCACTCACATTTCATGGAATACTTGTATTCAAAATCTTTACATACATCTTTGGCATCAGTGTGTTTATCCTCACTAAAGACATTCATCAAGTCAGCCAGTAGTTCTCCAGAGCTTATCATCACCCTCAACAGATGTTCCATTCCAAATACAAGTTGTCATTGTATATAATTATGCCAACTATTTCTTTAATTTCCCCTGTAAAAGAATTTTTATGATCTCCAAGGTAATTACTTCATTGCTTTTTTAACTGATTTTCAAAAAGGATTGAGCATCACAATATTCAACACTTCCAATTATTAGGTAATACCCTGGGAAGTTGTCAATTGATAGCTATGAAGTTACTCTTGGGAAATTGCTAGACTTGCCAAGACATCAATATTTCTTATTTGCCTTAATGTGTATTGTGTATATAACTAACTTTTTTCCCTAGTGGTATCTACAAGCATCCAAAACTAATATTGACTGATGTTATTTCAGAATATGTGCTCTCCCCAGATAGTATTTGGTTATTTAAACAAATTAAAGTAATTGTCAGAGTGTCTTATAACATGAAAGACTTTGTAGAAACTTAAAAACAAAGGGGGTATCTAAGGGTTACTGGAAAGAAATATTTCCCCTTTTCTGGTCAACATAGTATAAATGTTACAATTCTTTTAAAACTAATCATTCTCATTCTGACACTCAGGAAATAATACCATTCAATGCTAGTTTTTCAACCCAGATCTTGCTCTTTGATCAAAACCTAGCCACAGACTTCTTCATATAGTGTGTTTCTTGACTAAATTCAGATGATTTCATCCACAATAATTATGTGCATTGTGTATGTGTGTGTGTTGTGTGAAAAGGAGAGATTTTAAAAAATATTTTCTGTTTGCCAGGTATCATTTTGCATACTTTACATATATAACCTCTAATTATCACAATTACAGATCTCTCAATTTTACAGACAAGGAAGCTAAGAATCATATTGGTCAAACACCTTGCCCAAGATTGTAAAGCATATAAATCCTAAAGGTGACATTTAAAAACACATCTGTGGTGTTTTCCATAAATCCTGCTACCTTTATGTAGGTCCTTTTTTTTATCCAAAGTGGGATTGCATGCATTCATGACTTTTTAACTTATTTCATAAATACATATGTTCTTTTCCTAGCCATATTGCTCAACCTTGAAATTAAAGTTTGCACTTTGTGTCTTCTGTGTGTACTCCGGTGAAATATGTGATACTGGATATGCCGTCATGAACATACTACGTATTAGTGATAAATGCCTGAAATTCTGCCTTAAATTATTCATAATCTTCCAGAATGTTGAGTAGAATGTTCTGTGTATGTTTTTTAGGTTCAGCTGGATTATAGTGTTGTTCAAGTCCTCTGTTTCCTTATTGATCTTCTGCCTCATTGTTCTATTCATTATTGAAAATGAGATATTTGAGTCTCCAACTATTATTGGATCTATTTCTCTCTTCAATTCTGTCAGCTTTTGTTTCATGTATTTTGGAGCTCTGCTATTAGGTGTATATTGATTTATAATTGGTGTATCTTCTTGAGGGTTTGATTGTGTTCTGTCTTTATAAAATTCCCTTTTGTCTCCAGTAATAAATTTTATTTGGTCTGATGTTACCATATGATTCTATTAGCTCTCTTTTGGTTCTGTTTGCATGACATATCTTTTTTTCATTCTTTTACTTCCTTTCTATTTGTGTATTTGGTTCTAAAGTAGACAGTATTTAGTGGGATCATTTGTGTGCATATCTGTTTTATTCATTCTGCCAACCTTTTGCCTTTTGATTGGTGTGCTTAGTCCATTTTTTTCTTATATAATTGCCAGTAAAGTAGAATGTCTGTCTACTATTTTGCTAATTGTTTTCGGTATGTCTTATGTCTTTTTTGTTTCTCTGTTCCTCCATTATTGCCATATGTAGAAAACTTTCAAAATTTTGGATGTAAAAAGGAGAAGAGAAATGAACGACTGCCTAGATGGGTATGCAGGTTCAATTTTAAAAGTGGAAATACTGGGTATGTTTGTATGTCTTAAAGGAGCTTATAATTCATCGCAGATGATAGAAAGCTATCACAAAGATTCAGGAATTCCAAAGGGAATACTTTTGCTAAATCTTCTAAAATGAATAAAGTCACTATTTAGTGAAAAGGATATTCTAGGCTGATGCAGAGCATGAATAATGAATAAGATGTCAAAGCAGATAAGTAGATTGCTAGAACCTTAATTAGCCGATTGGAGCTCAAGATCAGAGGGACAGTGTCAAGTAGGGGTTTGTGGTAAAAAACGGGAAAGACAGGGATCAGATTCATTTATCATTCATTCAACAAATATTTATTGACCACCTACTGTGTGCCAAGCACTCTTTTATGTGCTAAAGATCCTGTACTGAAAGTTTTTGTTTTCTTGAAACTTACATTGAAGGATAGGGAAAGGTGATTACCTAAAAAACAAATAAAAACTAAGATGTCAGACAATAAGTTTAATGCAGAAATAAAACAATATAATTTAATAGAGAGTGACAGGGGATGGAGTAACAGACAGTAGTTTGGGTGGTGAGGACAGCCTTTCTCAAACAGATAAACAATATATAAAGAAAAATAATTTAGGGGAAAATACTGAGTTCCGTTTTATATATGCCGAGTTTAAAGAATCATTAGGACGTTTAAAGGGATATGTCTATTGAGCTAACTCTAGAGCTCAAAAAAAGTGTTGTGAGTCATTACCATATGAGTGATACTGATGCCATGAGAGTTGATGAAGTAGGTAGTTGGATAGATCAAATGGCATGATGAGGGTCACAATCTTCAAGAGCACCAATATTTAAGGAATGCACAGAACAGGAATCTGCGGAAAAGTCAAGACAGTCGTCATGTAGAAGGAGCCCTGACAGAGTGGGCTCTTGAAAAGGCAAGAATGGAGAGAATTTTTAAAATGGTGTTCCAGAAGTGTCATTTGTAACTAAAACAAAAAATCAAGCAGATGACAACTAAAGATGCATTGCCCTTGGTGAACTTCCAGAGAAGTTTCGGTAGATGGTGAGATTAGAAGCTTGATTATAGGCATTGAGACTCCGTGGGAAATGAGGACACACCAACAGTGGATGTCGCCTGTTATTTTGAGGATCTTGACTCTTGTGGGCATGAAGAATAGTGGCAGAAGGTATAGGTAAATGACAGGGCAAAGGGAGCCTTTTAGAAATGACTTGTTATTTTGAGAAGATGGCAGTTGCTGTGGCAAGGGTGGGATGGTTTAGGACTGAGGATACGTAGGGCAAGTAGGGAACGAGGACAGGGAGAGTGGGTTTGATAGGATTGGGCAGAGTGTTGAGGGCAAAGCCACAGGCCCTAGACTTGGTAAAGCAGGATGTTGCATCTGAGAAGGGGCAATAGCCTGGAAGAAAAGGGGCATTGAACTCACAGAGGTTAGAGAAAAAAGCCAGTAGGAAGAATGAAAATGAATGAATGAGGGATCTCATGGCCTAGTAAATTAGGTTGGTGAGTGGACCAGTGGATATCCCTATTTCAGAGGTGGCATTGTTGTGAGTGATGGCAAGATTCAGGATGCGCTGTGGACATTGTAGAATGTATATATGTAGAATGCTAGGATCTCGAGAGGCAACTTGTTTTTTGGTTGGATAGTCATATGGATGTCAAGATCTGCTGCAATAGTGTTAGGAATTGATGAAAGAGAGAGGGAACCCATGAGGCATGCCATCATGGGCAGTGGACAGGGCTGTGGGGCGTGACTGGATGGTTGATAGATGATCTTTGAAGAGGTTGAATATGCGTGCAGTCAGTCTCGGAGGGATATAAATGAGTTCATCAGACCAGACAAGAGCACAAAGATAACTCTTCTTCCTCCCACCCCTTCTCCATGATAAGTGAGGGATGACAGAGGATGCCTCCTCCACTGCAGGAGGCTTTAAGGGAAGCAATGACACCCCCTTCCAGCAATGACAGATTTCCCTTAGGGTATTGCAGAGAGGAGATTATTCCAGCCTGCAAAGTGTGATAAGCTCAGCTGTTAATTCTTTTCACTGTTTCTGAGAACAAAAGAAATCTTTAAAGAAATTAAGTTGGTTTTACAGCTAATCGGAAGGGACCTGAAGATGCCTCATTTGGGGAAATGGTAGTGTCTCAGAGTGCCATGTTTATGAAGAGCTTGAAAAATGTAACTTCCAAGCAGATTATATGCGAATCCAGAGCCTGGTCCTCTTTGTGTGTGTATACTTCACTGCTGGTGACACTGGTCTTTGTTTTTGTTTTCTTTTGACTCATATATTTTATTTTATTTTATTTTAAAGATGTTGGGTACAATTCTGGCTTAGTTATATAAGTGGTCATTGTACAGATAAAACTTGGGCCTCCCTTTGGTCCCCCTTCACCTGGTTTGAGATCAGGTACCCTTACTGATGTTGTGTGCAATTTGACACTGGTCTTTTACAAGCTGGGGTCATATCAGAATGTGCCCTTTTAAGGGAACAGGTGCCAAGTTTATTTATTCATTGGCTTGTTTATTTTTTGTCCACTTGTTCATTCATTCGTGAACTATGTACTGCATGCCTGCTATGTATTAGGTTCTGTATTAGGTGCTGGGGCTGTAATAGCTAATATATATATTATATGATAGTAATATGTAATAGTAGTGAATATATAATAGTGATGAATATATACTATATACTATAATAGTAATTATATAATAATAGTAAATATATAATAGTAAAAGGTATTCACTACTTTGCAGAGTCTCTGATTTCATAAATTGGAGAAAATCATTATGTGATAAACCACATCAAAAATGTTAGACACTTTTTTCTAAATAAATATATACTAATGAATTTAATTTCTAAATTCTATAAAGAGACACTAAAGTTATTAGAAAATTATAGATGTTTGTTTAGTTATTCTAAATAAGATATTTCTGGTACTGCATCAACTATTTCTCTAAATGATAATTGATATAGCAACTTAAGAGATGCTGTGTATTAGAAAACAAATTTAAACATAGGAGAATGGGAATTTTTTTTTTTTTTTGCTAAATGTTTTTAGGTTTAAAATGTTTGCTATAAAATAAAATAAAATAAAATGTTTGCTAGAAATGCTCTTACAAATTGATAAGAAAAAAGCAAACACTAAGAAATAAGCAAAACAACATGAATAGGTGATTCACAAAAGGAGAAATACAAATGAGCAGTGAGTAAATGAACAAAAAGTGTCAACTTTAATTAAAGGAATACAAATTTAAAAGTCAGTGAAATGCTAACTTCTGGCAATCTGACTTATAAAGGTTGTATGTAAGGTTAGGTTCAAAGTTGAGGAACTGTAAGTGGCCCAACCTGGTAGGAACAGTTTGACAGTGATCATCAAAGCTTCTATTGTTCATGCTTTTCACCAGCATTTACATTCAAGAAATCTATTCTAAGGAAATTATTAGACTGTGTACAAAGTTTTAATCATAGATATTCATCAAGGTTTTGTTTGCCATAGTGAAAAACCAATGAAACAATACCTGCCAGTCAAGTTCAACTACACACCCCTCTCATCTATACCCAGCTTCTGTTTAAATCAGACCCATCCATCTGCAGCCCAAGTTTGTCCTCTCAAGAAGATGTTTGCAGCTGACAGGGCTCGTTGCTTCCTCTCTATGTGATCCTTTTTCTGTTTCTGCCCATATTCACTCATTTATTATATTTAATTATGTATAGCCTTTTGTGGTAACTTAACATTCACATATCGTTTTGTCATATGCTTTTTTTTTTCTTACCAATATATGTGTGTACACACACACACACACACACACACACAAAACACACACACACAAACACACACACACATTCATTTTAAGTATGAATAGAGCACATGTTCATTAAACAGCCCACAACCCCTCTGGGTACATGTCTGACTGGTAAGTAAGTTTGTGGAATGATGTTAGCACAGGACACAGAGTTGGATAGATCATTTGTTGAATAATTTAAGGTGAGAAGGTGTTAAGAATTACTCTCTCGGTTGATTGAGGTTCTAGATAAGGAGCCATGAGTTGCTGCTCAAAGAGCTCCAGGAAGTCTTCTGGGCTCAGTGATAGCATACTCTCTCTTTTGCTGAACAATTAGAATTATTTTTCCTCTGTCGTCATTTTGGAGTCCAAACATATAACACTAAAATTAAACCATTTTTATATTTTATAAAGTTTAATAATAAACCTCTCAAATCTCAAAACCCTTACAAGATTCATATCTAAAAGATAAATAAACTGGGCTTGGTGGCTCAGCCTGTAATCCCGTGCTTTGGGAGGCTGAGGTGAGTGGATTGCCTGAGCCCACGGGTTCGAGACCCGCCTGGTCAACTTGTCGAGACCTCAACTCTACAATAAATCCAAAAAAAATTAGCCGGGCGTGGTTGTGCACGCCTGCAGTTCCAGCTACTTGGAAGGCTGAGGCGGAAGGATTGCTGGAGCCCAGCAAGTCGAGGCTGCGGTGACCGGGAGCGGCCACTGCACTCCAGTGTGGGCGAGAGTGAGACTCCAACGCAAAAAAAATAAAAATAAAAATAAAAGATAAATAAATTCTTAGGACAGTGATTCCAAAAGTGTTGTCTTTGAACCAGCAGCATCAGTATTATCTAGAGACTTGTTAGAAATGCAAATTCTTATTCTCCCCACCCAGACCTACTGAATCAGAAACCAGCCATTCAGGTGATTCTGATGCACTAAAGTTTGAGAACTTCTGTCTTATGGTTCCTGGCATTCTGTATTTGCCATGTTAATATCAATTTTAGGAGAGGTTGTGCTCTATGCTAAAACTTTTTTGTTCACTAACAGATGAGGATTCGACACACTTTGGGTTATTTTATTTGATCCAATGCTGTTCAGAATTGTATAAAGAGAACCTGATTTTAATATTTTTCATTGCCATTACAAATCTGTTTGTGCTGACTGGACTTTCCCTCTTTCTTCTTTCCTCTTTGTATTTCCACATGGTAGACGAGTTGGGTTTTATGTCAATACTTTCAAAAATGTCTCCAGCCTTGAAGCCAAGTTTCATAAGGAAATTGCGGTGGTGAGTCATGAAGATTATTTTTACATATGGAATATAAAGTAAAGGAAGGTTTATTTTGGAAGCAAACAAAATGGCATAGCATTATCCAAAGAATTCATCCTTTTCCATTTTTCTTTGAGTAGTGTGTTATTACTTTCTGTAATCGTTTTGCAGTTTTTTCTGTAATGATTACATGTTCTTTATGTCTTTTGACGATTTTGTCACAGTTTCACAGTCTTACTCCTTTTTTCAGTCAGTTTATAAAGTTGAGATTTCAAGGGGTACTTGAGACTAATGAAAAATGGATCTAAAATATTTAGAAAATTAACAGCTCTATCGTTGATTGATGTTTTCTTAGTTTATCAGGGTGTTGTATGACTATTTCTAGTGGAGTCAATGTAAGCAATAAGCTTATGTTTTCTGCTCTGTACTCTGGTAAATAAATATATTTTAATTTTTTAAGTTTATTTGTATTTAGTTTTTTTTTACATTAATTTTAAATTTGTAACATATACAGAATTTCAGTTATCCTGAAGCCATGCAAACAATCATATGATTCTTAGTTTCTCAATAAACAATTTATTTCTTGGGGAGTATATTATTTCTTGGGGAGTATATACAATTTATTTCTTGGGGAGTATAGTAATTGGCACTAGGATGATTTGCAGCTCAATAGACAAATGGCTTCTGTTTCCATAGCTTTGCCACAAATTGTATGAAGTGATGACAAAACTGGGTGACCAGCATGCCGACAAGGCCTTCACCATTCAAGGAGCTCCCAGGTAGGTCATTGCTCATCAGAGCACCTTTAACATGCTGCTTGTTGAAATTTGTGCAGTGTATGAACCGGCCAATACTGTTTTGTTCATCTTATAAGAGTCTCAAAGGAGCCTTTCCACCTGCAGGATGACACTTACCTTAGTTCTGTGCTTTTACATCTTCTTCTGGCCTTCAGGTACCCAGTGAGTGGCCTTGCTGTCATGATAGAATTAACTATCTGCCTCTCTGCTTTCCACAGGACCTGAGAGCAATGGTGTGAAATTTTAAATATATAATATCTGGTTGTGCAATTATATTTTCTCTGAAGAAGAAAGGCATTTCCCAAACCTGTAAGAGTTAGTCCTGATTCTTATCATTGATGCTGACACCTTTGATGAATCCATTTTGGGAAAGGAAAGAGGAAGTAGGTGACCTCATCATCATCTTGCCTCCTAACTCTTAATCTGACAAACACTACCCTGTTTTGTTCTGCATATTGCTCTTACAAGTATGCCAGTCAAATACACTAAAGGCCCAGTGATCCATAGGTACATTATCTACTTTGTTAGGGGTTGACTTCACACCAGCTTCTGTGATTTTGGAATCCTTTTATTCCATTCTCCTCAGGCATTATGTACTCAGAGAAAGTAGGCTAGTGAGTTTTGGGCGGGAAGTCAGAAGACCTAGCATTCAATTGTATGACTTTGCAGTTAGCTTGCTTTACCTTCCTTGAGGAGGTCAAATAACCTCTCTGTTTAAAGGTCTCATGTTTTCTTCAATTAAAAAATAAAATAAAATAAAAAATATTGAATTAAATGGCTTCTAAGATAACAGCAGTCCTGATGTTCTACATTTGCCATTTTGACGTCAATCTGTGCAAACACTCATATGCATGCATTTATAAAAACACATGTAGTCATATACATGCACCAACTTCTACATATGTTTGTGTTTGGATCCCTCTGGAGACTGCTAATTTTCTTATTCTCTTTTCTTTGGATGATCTAATCTTACAGTTTTTGCTATAACTGCTATACTGAGTGAATCTTCTCTTTCTAAAAGGAAGAACGTTGTGTGAAAGAACACATGAAAGGGACTCAGTTACTGTTTTCAATATAGTTATTTCAGTATTGAACTAGGCACAAAGGAAGAATTAGAATAGGAATATCAAAATGACATTTGGGTGTTTTAACAAGGAAGTGCATGAAAAAATTAAGGGTTGTTCCTATACATGGAAATGAAAGGGACAAATGCCTTTAAAAATTTCACTGTTGCTGAATCAGATAAAGTGAAGAGAAAGCGGGGTTGTGACCACTTAACGAATGTTCCTTTCATTTTTTTCAACATTCCTCTGCAGAATGAGGTGGTGAGTGAGCTCAGTGGCATCTTAATATTAAGTGTAGATTGGGGCTGTGTTTCTGTCAGAGGCTATGATTGTTGGCACATCGCCTCAATCATGTGGCGTGTCTGTTTTCTTAAGGGACCCAGTTCCCTCCACCCCTAGAATATGTAGACTATGCTGCTGTATATGTGTTCTTTTATTTTGGGGTACAGACAGACTCTGTTCCTTTGAGCTGTAGACTAGAAATTCTTAGAGAGTAGGATGTGTCCTGAGTGCTTCTTAGTCACCACAGTTGGGCTGTTCCCGAGCACCTGGCCCAGTGCCTGGAACATTGTGTGTTCTCAGTAAACATGACTGAAACTTGTCTGTCATGTTATTTCTTCACACATTCAAGGTGTCTCAGTTGAGTCATTGTTTTCTAAAATGTAGAACAGAAATAATTAATGGATTTATTTCCAAATGTTACCAGGGGACACTTTTACAAAATCTTTATTAACAATATCATAAGGCTACCTTTTTCTGAAATGTACAATTTTCAGAATATGTTTTTCTGTAGAATTTTTTGTGATGTGCCATGATTGTCTTGTAAATATAAAGTGAAACTAGTTAAATTAACTCAATTGCTTGGAAGACTTTTGCAGAGCTTGTTTAAAAGATGGCTTGTGTTACTTTCAGATCCACTAAATTGCTGGGTGATTTTAGAGTTTTTTTTTAAATGTCTCTGTGCCCATTTATACTTACTTTAAAGTGGGGACTCTAAAGCATGGCCATTATGAAGATAAGAGATGATATACGAATGAGTTCTTGCACAGAGAAGACAATAAATGGTTCCAGTTGTCACCATCATTGTTATACTATTCATCAGAATTAACGTTAAAAGGGGGATCAGGATAACAAACATTACTTGCTATGCCTGATGATTTCGTTGGGATGGAGAACACCTGATCAAATGAGTAGTGTTCCTTAAAAGGCCACTTGCTTAATCTCCTGTGCTCATCTAGCGATTCCGGTCCTCTCCGCATTGCAAAGACACCATCACCACCTGAGGAGCCTTCACCCCTCCCGAGCCCGACAGCTAGTCCAAATCATACGCTAGCACCTGCGTCTCCTGCACCAGCACGGCCTAGGTCACCTTCGCAGGTAGGAAGAGGTCAAATATAATGGGGGTAGAAGGATTTATAGCAAGATGACCCCATCTGGGATAATCTCATGGTGCTGGGGCTTTAAGTGAAGTTTCCAACTGCGGAGACTAAGATGTGAAGCTTTCGGCATTGTGATTGTCACTAAGGGATCCACTTGTTTTTTGAATTTGACTTTTTATATTTCCTCACGTACCCTATATTTGAGTCTGTTGGGACTTCCAACCACATTCTCAACTTGCTCAGGCTAGCATGCTTACCTCTTCTGTTGCTTACTCTTAGAATCCTTTCATGGCTCCATTTAAGTCCTGCCGTCTATTTGCATGAAACCCTCCCTCCGCTAGTTCTTTAGGTTACATTTGGGGCAAGTACTACCAAGAAGAGCAGTTATGTTTATATGCCCTTTCCCTTTTTTTTTGTATCACCCGCCCCATATTGCACATGAATAGACACAATAAAACTGTATGATCGAAAATAAACAGTTAGGGCCAGGCAAAGGCAACTATAGAGGAAAAATGCCACTCTCATTTTCCTTAGTTTGGGTAAAAATAAAATTCCTGCAGGAAAGCCGGAAGTCCCCATTCCAGTTCAAGTCTTCATGTACACGTGGTCCTTGACTTTCAGAGGTTAGGTCCTAATAAACCCATCAGAAGTAAAAAATACCAAAACTCAAAATGCATTAAATACACATAACCTGCCAAACATCATGGTTCAGCCTAGCCTACCTTAAGCATGCTCAGAATACTTATATTAGCCAAGAACTGGGCAAAATTATATAACACAAAGCCTGTTTTATAAGCAAACATTGACTATCTCATGTAATTTATTGAATACAGTATATTATAGAACATAATATTGGCCATTTACAGTTATAATTGTGTGGCTGAGTGGGAGCTGTGACTTGCTGCCACTGCCCAGTATCACAAGCAAGTGTACCACTTTCAACCTGAATGCCTATCACTTTTGTACTTTCCTAAAGTAAACAAACAAACAAACACACAAGATAAAAATCATAGGTCAAACTATCCTAAGTCAGGGGCCATCTGTGTATGAACTAAGAAAAGTCTTAAGGAGATATGTGAAATAGACCTCTAAATTGCTTACTTTTCAAAATTCTAGGGTGGAAAGGAAAATGTTAACTGCCTGTTGGTCTCACTGACTCAAATAAAAAACTTGCTTGCTTCTAGTTTTGAAATTTTAACTTATTGCTGAAGTGTGAAGTCATTTTCAGTTTAGGTCAGAGAGGGTATTGTCTTAGCTGAACCTTAAAGGATAGATACTTGGCTTGGCAGCCCGGTGTAGTCCTTGTGCTGAGACAAATGGACTCTCACAGCCTGAGTGTTTTCCATTGGATCATTGCCTGTCAGTGCCCGAAGAGCCAGCCAAGTCGATGGCATCCTTTACCTGAATCAGTTTAGGCTTACTTGTAAACGCAGACCTGTTTTCATCAGAAATCAATCTGTCCACCTGGCTCTGTGTTCATGTGGCATTGCTTTATCTTTGGCTGAATTGATGTTTGTATTTAATGCTTCCTAGACAAGAAAGGGGCCTCCTGTCCCACCTCTGCCTAAAGTCACACCGACAAAGGAATTGCAGCAGGAGAACATCATCAGTTTCTTTGAGGACAACTTTGTTCCAGAAATCAACGTGACAACACCTTCCCAGGTGAGTGTCTGGTTCAGAGCTGGGATGTCCATAAAAGGTACTATGGTGGGGGGACTTTCAGGAGTCAGCTCTAAAGAAAGTGGCAGATGTTACAGCTAACAATGTAATCTAATCATTGTTCAAATTTGTTTTAATTAGTTGGTATGTCTGAAATATTCTTAAATGTGAGATGAACAGTATTTGAAAGTACTCATCTATTTTATTAAGACTAGTAAATACTTATTGTAGAAATTGGAAAAATACAGCTGGGATTGGTGGCTCAGCCTGTAATCCCAGCACTTGGGAAGACTGAGGTGAGTGGATTGACTGAGCCCGCGGGTTTGAGACCAGCCCGGGCAACTTGGCGAGACTTCACCTCTACAATAAATAAAAAGTTAGCCAGGCGTGGTAGCGTGCGCCTGTAGTTCTGGCTACTTGGAAGGCTGAAGCAGAAGGATTGCTGGAGCCCGTCAGGTCAATACTGGGGTGGCCATGAGTGTGCCACTGCACTCCAGCCTAGGTGACGGAGTAAGACTCCAACTCGAAAAGAAAGAAAATTGGAAAAATACTAAAATGTATAAATTAAAGAATTTAAATTTTTTAAATTTTAATGATAAAATATTTTACATATTTATAAGATACACATGGGTATTTATTCCATGCATGATATGTAATGATCAGATCAGGGTATTTAGGGTATCCATCATCTCGAGTATTTATCTTTTCCATGTGTTGGGAACATTTCAAGTCCTCTTTTCCAGCTACTTTAAATATGCAATACATTGTTGCTAACCATAGTTACCCTTCTCTGCTATGGTATATTGGGGCTTATTTGTTCTATCTAACTTTATGCCTGTATCCACTAAGCAACCTCTCTTTATCCTTACACACTCTTCCCAGCCTTTGGTATCTTACCATTTTATTCTGTATCTCAATGAGATCAGGCTTTTTTCTTTTCTTCTTCCCACATATTAATGAAAACATACAGCATCTGTCTTTCTGTGCTTGGCTTATTTCACTTCATATAATAGCCTCCATTTCCATCCATGTTGATGCAAACAACAAGATTTTGTTCTTATTTACCTCCAAGTTGTATTCCATTGTGTACATATACCACATTTTCCTTATCCATTTGTTTATTATAGACATTTAGGTTAATTCTATATCTTTGCTGTTGTGAACAGTGCTACAATAAATATACAAATACAGGTATTCTGTTGATATATATATATTTATTTTCCTTTGGATAAATACCTAGTAGTAGGATTACTGGATCGTAAAGTAGTTCTGTTTTTAGTTATTAGAGAAAACTTCACACTGTTTTTCATGGTGGTTATAGCAACTTACAGCAGTGTTTATGAGTTCCCTTTCTCTGAATCCTCATCAGCATCTGTTATTTTGTATCTTTTCAGTGATAAGCCATTGCAGCTGGGGTAAGATGACATCTCATTGTGTTTTTGATTGGCATTTCCCTGATGCTTAGTGATATTGAGAATTTTTTCATATACCTGTTGGCCATTTGTATGTTTTCTTTTGATAAATATCTATTAATGTCCTTAGTCCACTTGTTAATAGGATTTTTTTTTATTGTGGAGTTTTTTTAGTTCCTTGTATATTCTAGATATTAATCCCATGTCAAATGAATAGTTTACAAAATTTTTTTGACATTCAACAAGTTGTCTCTTCATTCTGTTGATTGTTTCCTTTGCTGTGAAGAAGCCCATTAGTTTAATATAATCCCATTTGTCTATTATTATTATAGTGGTCTGTGCTTTTGAGCTCTTGGCCACAAAACCTTTGCTTAGACCAATGACTTGAAGTGTTTTTCCTATTTTTTAAAATTAATTGTATAGTTTTGATCTTATATGAGGAGGGACCCAAAAAAACCTGGAATTATCTTTTGGAAGGCAGGCCCCTTGTAGTACACTTGGAATTTGTTTCTCTAGATCAAATGGTCAACCAAAGTTTTTAGCTGAAAGTTTTGAGAAGGTTGTGTCATGATTTGTGGAAGAAACATCCCAAGTTGTGGCAGACAGGTGACTGGTTCTTCCACCAAGACAATGTACCTGCCCACACTGCACTGAGTGTTCTGTGGTTTTTGACCAAAAATGGCATGAACCAAATAAATTCTGCTTTTTGGGGGCGGTTCTCTCCTCACTTAAGCCTTGAATCCATCTTGAGTTGATTTTTGTATATGGGAAGAGATAGGAGTCTAGTTTCCTTCTTCTGCATATGGATATCCAATATTCTCAGCGCCATTTATTGAAAGAGGGTGTCCTTTTCTCAGTGGGCCTTTTTCAAAAATCAATTGACTGTAAATGTGTGTATTTGCTTTTGGACTCTCTATTCTGTTCCATTGGTCTGTGTGTTTGTTTTTATGCCAATACCACATGGTTTGGGTTCTATACATACCTGTAAACTATTTTAAAGTCAGGTAGCATAATGCCTTCACCTTTGTGACTTTTACTTTTATTTGACTCTTTTTTTAGTTCCATGTGAATTTTAGGACTGTTTTTTTCTAATTTTGTGAAAAATGATGTTGGCATTTTGATAGCAATTGCATTGAATCTACAGATTGCTTTGGTCAGAATGGTCATTTTAATAATGTTCATTTTTCTGATCGACGAGCTTGGCATGTCCTTCCATTTGTTTGCATCCTCTTCCTATTGTTTTATTAGTAGTTTGTATTTTTCCTTGTAGAGATCTTTTACCTCCTTGGTTAAATTCATTCCTAGTTACTTTATTTTACTTGTAGGCATTATAAATGTAATTATTTTTTTATTTCTTTCTTAGCTAGTTTATTATTGTTATATACACATACTAATAATATTTTTATGTTGATTTTATATCTTGCAACTTTACTGAATTTATCAACTCTAGGACTTTTTGGTGGATTGTTAGGTTTTTTTTAGGTATAAGATCATATTGCCAGCAAAAAGGGACAATTTGACTTCCTCCCTTCTAATTTGGATACCTTTTATTTTTTTCTTTTACTTCTTTGCTCTGGCTAGGGCTTCCGGTACTATCCTGAATAGGACTAGAGAAAGCAGGCATCCTAATTTTGTTCCAGATCTTAGAAGAAAGGCTTTCAGTTTTCACTCATGCACTATGATACTAGCTGTGTGTTTGTTATATATGTTCTTTATTATTTTGAGGTAAGTTTCTTCTGTTCCTAGTTTGCTGAGAGTATTTATCATGAAGGGATGTGGAATTTTATCAATTGTTGTTCTGTCTGTTGAGAAGATTATATGTTTTTTATCCTTCATTTGGTTGCTGTTATTTATCATATTTATTGATTTGTATATGTTGAACCATACTTGCATCTCTGGTATAACTCCTACTTGGTCATGGTGCACTATCTTTTTGATGTGCTGTTGGATTTAGTTTGCTAGCATTTTGATGAGGAATTTTGTGTCTAAGTTTATTGGAGATATTGACCTGTAGACTTTTTTTTTTTGTTGTGTCTTTGTCTAGTTTGATATAATGCTGGTCAGGATAATGCTGACCTCATGGAATGAATTAGAGAGAGTTTCCTCCTCTTCAGTGTTTTGGAATAGTTTCAGGAGGATTGGTATTAGTTCTTTTTTTATGTTTGGTAGAATTTAGCTGTGCCCCCATCGAGTTCTGGGCTTTCTTTTGGGGGGAAGACTTATTACTTATTCAGTCTATTATTTATTATTGATCTGTTCACATTTTCTGGTTCTTCCTGATTCAATCTTTGTAGATTGTATGTTTCCAGGAATGTATCCATTTCTTTTAGGTTTTCTAGTTTGTAAGCATAATCTTTTCTATATCTGTGGTATCCATTGTAATGCCTCCTTTTTCACTTTTGTTTTTGCCTATTAAGATCTTCTCTCTTCTCTTTTCTTGGTTAGTCTAGCTAAAGGCTTATCAATTTTGTCCATCTTTTTGAAGAACCAACTTTTCATTTTGTTGATCATTTGCATTTTTTATTCTATATTTCATTTAATTCTGTCCTGACCTTTATTATTTCTTTTCCTGTGAATTTTGGGTTTGGTTTGTTCTCCCTTTTCTAGTTTCTTGAGGTGCATGATTAGATTGTTTATTTGAAATCTTTCTACTTTTTTGATGTAGGCATTTATTGTTGAAAACATCCCTGTTAGTACTGCTTTTGTTGTATCACATAGGTTTTTGTATGCTGTTCATGTTTGGTATGTTTTTGTGTTTATTTCTTTCAAGAATTTTTAAAATATACATCTTAATTTCTTCCTTGGCCCAATGATCATTCAGGAGCATGTTGTTTACATTCCATTTATTTATATTGTTTTTGCTTGATATTGATTTCTAGTTTTATTCCAAGGTGGTCTGAGAACATCATTTTGATTTTTAAAAATTTGTTGAGACTTTTTTTGTAACCTAAAATATGATTTATCCTGAAAAATGTTCCATGTGCTGCTGAGAAGAATAAGTATTCTGAAGTTGTTGGATAAATGTCTGTTAGGTCTATTTGATTTATAGTCCAATTTAAATCCAACACTTCCTTGATGATTTTCTGTCTAGATAATGTGTCTAATGCTGAGAATGAAGTGCTGAATTCTCCCACTATTTATGTATTTGGGACTATCTCTCTCTTTAGATCTAGTAATATTTGTTTTATGAATCTAAGTGCTCCAGTATTGAGTGCATATATCTTTAAAATGCTATATTCTCTTGCCGAATTGATCCTTTGATCATTATATAGTGATCCCTTTTGCCTTTTTAAACTGTTTTTGACTTAAAATCTGTTTTTTCTGGCATATGTATAGTTTCTCCTACTCACTTTTGGTTTCCTTTTGCATGGAATATCTTTTGTGCTCCTTTTACTTTAAGTCTGTATGTGTCTTTGCAGGTAAAGTTTTTGCAGGCAAAATATAATTGGATGTTTTCATACATCCAGCAAGTCTATATCTTTTAAGTGGAGAATTTAGTTCATTTAACATTCAAGGTTATTACTGATATGTGAAGTTTGTTACTGTCCTATTGTTAATTGTTTTCTGGTTGTTTTGTATATTCTTTACTCC